AAGGAAAGAAAGATGGAAGCGACTCCGAGCCAGACACATGTTTCCAGTTTTCAAAAGTCTCCAGCATCAATCACATTGGCAAGCAAATACTAACAGTGCTCTTAGTTTTGGCTAAATGAACTTTTTTAACATGGCGCATTTGCATTTTGATTTTACTTTCAATGGAAAGCAATGTGTAATGTTCTATTGTTTCGTGAGCTAAGTAAAACTTTCATTTTCTGATGCCTGTCAAATGACTGTCGCTTGTTCTGCACTTGTTTCCAGTCCCCTAAACAGGAAGCCATATAATAAACATGTTATTAGCCTCATTTTTTCAGTCCGTACTGTGAATTATGCATCCCCGTTTTTTCCGTCTGGTCTTCTAGCCTGGATAAATCTCTATCCGCTGGATAGCGACTGGTTTCTCGAATAATTATCCACTGGATAGTGATTTATCTGGTGGATAGTACTATCCAACGTTTGAACAACTTGGGCCTGATGGCATCATAAAATAATAGGAAATTCGACAGGGTTAACCACAAACTACTGCTCAAGAAGATCCACTGATACTGCATCTGCGGTATCCTGTTGTCTTGGTTCAAAGACTATCAACTTACTGACCGTGTCCAAAGGGTCACCGTTCCCGGGGTCAACTCTAAATCTCTCCCTGTGTTATCAGGTGTGCGGCAAGGATCAATACTTGGTCCACTCTTGTTCCTCATATATGTAAATGATCTTCCTGACGTGGCGTCCCCAACATCTGTTGCTCTCTTTGCTGACAACACGAAGTGCTTCTGGTCAATCGAAGGCATGGAGGATGGTGCCTGCCTACATCGCGACCTCGACCACATTAACGAATGGTGTGATCTCTGGCAAGTGGATCTAAGTCAATCCAAATGCGGGCTACTTTCTATTACCAGAAATGCTTGCCCGATTCACTTCCCCTGTTAATTATCCGATGTCCAAGTTAAGAAGATGGAAGCATAGAAGGACCTTGGGGTTTTAGTTACTATAAATCTGAAATGAAACTCCCAAGTATTGGCAGTTTCTTCGAAGACCAATAGGATGCTTGGCTTTCTCCAGAAATCAGCTTTCGACACTCATGACCAGCGAGCTCGCAAGTTACTTTACTTGTCAGTAGTTCGCAGCAACCTCGCATATTGCTCGCATGTGTTGGCTCCTCAAGCTGTTTATCTTATCTTTGACATCGAAAGAATTCAGCAGTGGGCAACAAAATTTATTCTGTCTTTGCCGTATCGGTCTGAAGTTAGTTATAAGCAGAGGCTTTTGAAAACTGGGCTACTACCATTTATAATGTTATCGGCACGAATTTTTAGATTTGGTGTACGTATTCAAATGTTTAGTTAGTCTATCAGATCCTTTTATTTCAGTCATGAATTCCACTAGACCCAGGCACACAGTCTCCGCCAAGGGTACGCTGTTGAATACGATTAGGGCCAACACCGTCACCTTTGAGAACAGTTTTTACTGTAGATCGAGCCCCAAGAATCTGGAATACTTTACCAGACCTCCTCCGGAACACTGGCTGTTCAGTAGTGCACTTTAAGAAAGATCTTTTTAATTACTACTTGTTTCTCACTAAGTCTGTTTATGATGTCGACACCCCCAGACCTTTAAGAGTGTGTGTATTAAGTGCCACACTCAGCGTGCAAAGAAAGTCGTGTCCGATAGCCCGGGGCTAGTGGATTTTGCTGTCGGGCCAGTGACTTTTGTTCTTAACCTGCCCGACGGGCAAGTGCTGCTTTGAGGGGAAATTCACATTACAGAAGGATTGTAATCAATCCTTTTAATCAAAAAGGGTTTTCGGGCTAGTTGAAATGACTTGTGGGCTAGTACATGCTAGCTACAGCTTGCCCGAATGGCAGGCTGTAAAAACTGACTTTCTTTGCACCCTGCACACTAGTCGGCGATTGAACAGCTTGCTTGATCGTATGTGTTATTGATTTTTTATCGATGCCCCCCCCCCCCCCCCCTTCTTTTTTTTTTTTCCTTTTTTTTTTTTTTTTTTTTTAAAATATTGCCGTTTTTTTTTTTTGTTTTATTTTTTTTTTTTTTTTTTTTTGTTTCTTTTTTGGTTTTTTTTCTTTTTGGTTTTCGTGGCTCTTGGTGAATTTTTTCAGAAATAAAATTACATCATTTTATAAATTTACCCCCCCCCCCCCCAATTCTGTTTTTGCATGCCGTTTTTTTTTTCCGTTTCTAAAGTATAGTCACGTTTATTAGTTGTATTACTAATTTTCTCTTTTTTTTTCTGGACCTCGTAGTGGAGCTTACTCTGTGAGTGATCCAGGCCTCTTGGCAAAGTTTACAAATAAATAAATTAATTAATTAATTAATTATGCAGAATGTAAAACAGCCTTTTACATATTGGTGTTCAAGTTTGTTATTCTCCAGATAATGATTAGGTGTCTTTTGCTGGTTAGTATACATTAAGATTTCGTATCGATTATTCAGTTGGATGCTACTTGAGATGAATTGCGCAAAGTTACATTAGTGCTTAATATCAGAAGTCTTGTTACCTGTTTGGTATTGCTAGTACATGTAGGTAGTGTTTTCTTTCTTTTTTCTCCAGGGTTGTCACAGACAACACAGGTAGCTGCAGTATCCTTGGCTCTCCTGACGGCTGCGCTATCTCAACCTCAGATATATGGCGATGAAAGAGACGGGATCATTGCCAAATTAAATCAGTTGCAGGCTTGCTGGGGAACTGGAAAAGGGTTTTATAACCAACAAGGAGCTGTTGACTTTCTACCTCAAAATCCATTTTGTCGCTTTAAAGTGAGTACATGTCTTTATAAATTTTCGCCTCAGCTACTAGTAACCACCATTGTAGAAACATCCCTTGTACACTCGTTAATTCACATAGACCATTTGATGTTTATACATTCTACCCGGATTTTTGAAAACATTACTGCCAAATAGACCTCTTCTGTCAAATCGCCAAAGTAGCTATTGTAAAACTAACATTGCAACCATTGCTTTTTTTCTTTTCTCGTCCTTTCTACCTCCTTGCTCTTTCTTTTCTCCTTTCTTTTTCCTTTGCTGGTTTGATTTCTGAGTTTATAGTCTGCAAAAATCTTGCCTTTTGGCCCTTTTTCACTCAAATGGCTTCACATGTTGTCAGGTTCGCTTTCACAAATAGTCTAGATTTAAACTGTACTCAAATTGTGAATAATTGATTGTAGACAAACAGGCTAAAGGAAAACACAGTAATAATTTCAGTGAAAATTTTGTTTCACTACCCTCCTCTACTAAGATCCTCAGATGGTCACGAAAATTGTTCCCACTAAAATGGGAACCCTGTAAATGCCCACCAAAAGAAGAAAAAAAGGAAAAGAAAAGTGAAGGAAGTGGGGAAGAAAGAAAGCGAAATGTCTTAAAAACTATTCAGTATCTTTAAATTTTGTGTTACGTACATCATGATCAGTCTCATTCATTGCTGTGTTATCTTGCGAGGTGAGTAATTCTAGCGCTTGCAAATAAAAACACACACAAAGCACAATTCAATTGCTGGTTTGGTTTAATTATATTTCTAGATCAAACAAAAATATTTAGTGAAAACTGGACCATTGTAATTAAATCCCTGCATTATTGTAATAAGTGCTCTTCAGGGTTATCAGGTCTAACACATACTGTGATCAAATATGGTGAGTGAAGTTGACGTTTTAAATTGACATTTGTCATTTTGACGTGAGAAACAGTTTTTCTGGAAGTGGGCGGGGTAGTGGATGGACTGAGGTATTTGTAAAGATGCTTACAGGCTCTCCCCTGTTTAAGTAAGGCAGTACAACATGGATGGCCAAAAAGAAAACCAGACATATTATCTGAGGAAGACGAAATGACGGTGAGAAATGACGATGCAATTGGTCAAACTTCAGCCGTTCAAAGACCTTAGGGATTGTTGAAAGGACACTGATGGGGCGATAATTGGACTTAAACATCTCATCCTCTTTCTTGTAGACAGTTGTCACATTAGAGAGTTTCTATTAACTAGCCCCCAAACTTGAGATGATACAGTGATTAAAATATAAATAGCTTTGTAAGAGGCCCAGCAATGAGAGGAGCTAAAAGCAATTGGTTAAAAGCAATTTGGGCGATAATCCATCCGGGCCAACAGATTTCTTAGTGTTCAAATAAGCAAGAGATTCACCAACACGAGATATACTGACTTTTCTTGATGGCTAAGACACTTTGGTGGTTCATGAAGTCTTCCATAGAAAGTTCTAGAAAACATTCGTCAATTGAAGATGTTGCAAAATATTTGTTGAACAGTACATTAGGATCAGGAACAAAGGCCCCTCCTTAAATAAGGTATTGGAGTCATCAATAAGCTTGGTATTTGGTAATAGCGGTCTCATACATTCCCAGAACAGGCCAGTGGAATTGTTGGAAGAATTGGAAGCTGCAACAAAGCAAAAGTCTTTTACAGCCCTCCTTTTCAAGGCAGTAACCTTATTTCGCTGTGACCTATAAGCATTCCAGTCTTCATTTGTAGGCAGCCGGCGAAATAACTTGTCAAGCGGTTTCTTACACGAATTTGTTTTTGGATAGATAAGTCAATCCAGGGCGAATAATTGTTTCGAAGGCTTCTGCATTTAATTGGAGCATGAGTGTCCACAATTTTCTTAAATAGGTTCTTCCAGTGAAACCAGATATCATCTAATTCATCAAACACATATGCACTGTCCTTAGGGACGGCTCTTAAGTCTGAAAGAAAAGCCTCTTCATCAAAATTTTTAAATGATCGAAATTCAGTAATCCTTGGTTTCGATTTCGGCAGCTTCGTTTTCTAACGTTTTACATTAGGTACCACTTGCAGCAAAACGATCAGGATGCGATACAAGGATGATATCCAGTAATGTTTTAGATGAAACTGTGACTGTTTCATGTGTAATCAGTGATTGTATTGGTCAAGCAAAATTGATCACAAAAATTTGTTAAGTTGTGACGTGGTCCTGGCAAGGTCTAATTTTCCCGACAGTATGTCAATATTGAAGTCTCCAATAAACATGATTTCTTTCGTTTTGTGTACATTTTTTCTGCCCGCTCAGCAACCGGTGGCAAGAACTCAGAGACCTTGCATTTTCATGATGATCGATAACAGACAGATTAAAAACCATGAGCTTCCACAGCCCTTGACATCTAGTCAAATCGACTCAATACCTGCAGGCTCGAGATTTGATCGGCGACGCGTTGTGATGGACGATCGAATATAGACCAGTAAACCTCCAGTGCCTTTTTTTGGTCATGTCTAATAATGCGATAATTCGAGTGGGCAAACAGTAAATTGCTGTACCGCCACCGAAATGATCCCCACCATCGAAATGATCTCCGCCACCGAAATGACCCCCAATCACCACCGAAATGATACCCATTCGCAATCGAAATTATCCCGTCATAAATTTTCGGAACCTTGGCTAAAATGGACTTGGGACTTTACTATCTATTCTAAATTCTTCGTTTATTCATGCAAACACGATTCTAAACAGAGGAAAACAGAGAAAGCAATTAGACTGATAACAGTTCTATACACTGATTTTATTTTCAAAATTTTAACATTTTTTTAAGGAACTTCATAAATCCGCCTTGAACAGCAGGGAACAGGTTTATCATATAACGTGATAACGAGCAGATTACAACTAGTTTTGCGTTAAACACTTGGCAGTGTTAGAGCATGGTGCCGGGCTATAAAATGTCAGCACATTTTGTCACACTATTCTTTTATGTCAGAAAGAAATTCACAGATATAAATGTCGGCTCGCTCCATGGCATCAGGGTGAGTTTCCATGTA